TTTGCAGCATGTATAGCAACTTTTCTTATGATCTTGTTGGTCCCTCTATCTATGAAATAAAAATATGTTATATTTTTAAAAGAGGAAGCTTGATTTTCACAATGGCAAATTTTGTGTGTTGTTTTCATTCACCTGTGTAAATCTGTTTTTTCCTCCTTTAACTATATGATTGCAGTTGAAAGGCAGGTATAGCACTTTGTATAGTACTTTGATTTGCACCCATACCTCAGTTTCCATTAGTGAGGTCTGGCCTTCATACCTTTTGACTGAATGACATAACACATGTTATAATGAAGCCAGTAGGCTCAATGGGCTGTACACACTGTACTGCATCTTAGCACATCTGTGATGTGACACAGATAGAAATAATTTGTAATACATTTGTTTATTTACTTTCAGGCGGCCTCTAATATTACTGCTTACTTTTGAGTAGTACCTTACTTCTAAAGGAGTTTCATTCATTTCAGTGACACTCTTTAAGGTATAGACAACTACTCAATATAAAGGCATTAGAATTGGTTCCATATCAGTAAAATCCTGTGTAAGCTCCAAACGTCAGAAAAGACAGTTGGAAAAGGCTTGTACTCTTCATTCGGTCCAGCTGTGTACCCAACTGATACCTCAGTACAGTTTAGAGCAGCCACTGGTACTAGCTTCCAGCATCATCAAAGCATTAGAGCAGCCAGGAATAAGAAAAGCATATGGATGCCCTTATCACAGCTTGTTTTCCTTGCCATTAGCAAAATGGGGAGGCATAGGAGCTGCTATGCTGGTTGTGTGCCACCAGAGGATCCTCCTGCGCAACTGTGTGGGGCTAAGCAAACACAACCCACATCTGGGTCAACCTATAGATGCAAAAAGTGAACTGGCCTAGCATGGAGTCACATAGACCATCACTGATTTCAAATAATGTTATCAAATTGGTATTGAGACACTGAAATGCTAAAGACACTGGAAGGACTTATTGCAAATTATTTTACAATGGATTTGTCCAGCTCAGAACTAGGTCACACGGGCAAATATTTTGCCATTGGCAGGAGATTTTCTGATAAAGAGCCTGTACTTTGCTTGTTGTCAGAATTGTTCATCTGCTGAATTTCGGTGGTTTTGCTACCTGTTCAAAATTTTCCACACAGTGCTAACATGTTTATGTATGTCACTCAGAGCAACATCAGAGCTAAAGACTCTTTCCAACCTTTTGCCCTCAGTGACCATCTTCAAGCTCTTTTTGCATAATTTTGCTTGAGCCTAAGATAAAGACTAACTCTTCTAGACAACTGATTTTTCTTCGCCTATCCCTTGGGTAGTTGTTTAAAACCAGAATTTACAAAAGTAATATGCCTACTAGAGATGATCTTTTCTGAAGCTCAAAAGAAATTATACTGGATGACTTTAAGCTGGCCATTTAAGAAACGGGGTGATCTACTGAAGATGAGCTGTATTTCATGGAGAAAGGATGTGTTTAGGTGGGTATTAAACGCATGTAATTATTGTGTGTGTATATGTATATATATATAAGATGTAATAATGTCATCTGTTTTTTTTTCCATTTCCTGTTGATTGACTTTTATAGCTTGCAAACATTATGCTGGAATGTAAATTGCAATAAATTTAATCAAGAATTATTTTATTTGGTCTACTAATGAGGAATAATAGCGTATGTATCAATTAGACATGTCAATTTGTGTGAAGAAATAGATTTACAAAGGAATAGTAGGTAAAAAAATATCATTGGTATCAATTCACTTCATTATTTTTAATTTGCTGTGAATATTGAGTGTTTCCAACATAAAATCATTCCTCAATTAAAATAAAACAGCTGTACTACTATCAGCTTTTCATTGCTTGTTGTTGCTTACAGATTAGCAGTTGTCATTGGCTTCAGTCTGTTGTCATTCCATTAATTTGCACCCATAAATGGGTAAAAAAATATTTTCAGCTTGTCAGTGCACTGGAGTAACATATCTAAATTGTTTTCTCAGGTTGCACTGAAATGGCAGAGATACTGCAACAGCAACAATTTTTGGATATCTCAGCTGAAGTACAAACACGAGGCCTTTCCTCCAGTAGTGAAAGGAGAGTGGCTGTGAACTGCCTTATTCATTCTGGCACATTTTTATTACTCTAGTTTCACTTGCTTTTCCCTTAGGCCATTTCTAGTAAACCAGACCTCACAAATGTATTCTTATGCTGAGAATAAGTAACCATGAAACTGTGTTTTCAACTAGCATTGGTTTGCAGCTTCCTTTCACTCTAAGGGCTAAAAGTACCCTGACTTCTCTTTGTTAGCGGGCCTATGTCCTTATTTAGTTGTCCATGACACCACAAAGCATATATGTGAATCTGAATGAAATATGCACCTTTGCAACTGTCTTTACTTCAGATAGATCAAAAGGAAGATAATAAGGACACCTTTTCTGAGTGTTGAGTGGGAGATGCACAGCTAAATCTGCAAACCCAGCTTATGAAAATTGAACTTAATATTTCCTTTTAATTTTCTATTGGAAAACTTGTGATGACCTGCAAGAGTTTGGAAACTTGTCCAATGTTCTTTCTTTTTGATGAACTTTGAAAGAATTGTTTAGTATTCAAGAAACCAAGTTTTTTGGCATTGAAGGAAAGGAGATATATAATGCTGAATTTTAGCTAGCAGAGAATTCACTTCCTCAACAAAAAATAATTTTTATATCTCTTTTCCAACACGTAGTAGAAGTGGAAATTTTATTCAGTTGTATCATGGAATTATTAAAAAAAATAAAGCTGTCTAATATCTTCTGGTGCACACATGTCATATGTACCTACTAACTTGTCAGTAAACTAGATAAATACTTAAAATAAATCTTTAAGTAGTTGGAACTCCAGCCAAAGTCCTGGGGACTTGCAAAGCAAATAATCTTGCCTAGATTTCAGTACTGTAAAAAGGAAAATGAATCGAACTGGTGTTACCTTTTCTGGGCTCATTGATTTCAATGAAGAGACCATTGCACAAGCCTGAGCATGTGCCCTGGGATTTTTGATTTATCTAAAATGGTGTCATTTAGTATTGATGATTTGGGGAAAAAATTAAAATGGACTATATGAGTTTAATTCTGTACTTTGGAACAGGAATCTATATATTTCAAAACTGAATCAGAAATATTGTTGAGCAATATCTGACACACTTAACACCTAGATGTACTAATTTGTGATATCTACTGACACTAATCATATCTGTTGTGTTGGTTAATGGAATCCATGCAGTTCATGCTACTATGCTTGCTGGTGAGCTTGTTGGCTCACTTTTGGACAAAGACATTTCCGAAGTGTACAATAACAACACTGGAAGCATTAGAAAGCTTTCAAAACTCTGAGAAGGAAAGGAGTGCTTCCTACCTATCTGGCTTACCAGCAATTATGAACTGGAATGCTTACTCATAGGGAAATCTTGTCTTCATCTGAAGGCATTGAGGACAGTACTATGCATTTTTGTACTTGTTAACTGAATAAAGATTCCTCCCCCAAATTTGAGGAAATTGGGTATATTTTATATAGCATGCTCTTTCCCCTCCAGAGTTGAAGGGAAAAGAAGAATAAATATGATCATGGTGCATCTTGTTTCTGTATGGCCCCTAGCACACATTATACTCAAGGCATGATTAACTAGTTAACCACATCTTACATTGTTACCCAGTCATATATATGGTCATCCCACAATACACAAAAGTCTAAAATCATGTAGGAGCTTCCTCACCAGCACCCAGCCACTTGATTCCACACCCAAAATGCGAGTACAGATGTGGAATGAGAGGCTGAGGAAAATAACTGACAGTGAAAAAATGGACAATCCAATGGCTGAGTCTTTACTACCAGATTATGAACCACTGATGTCTCACCCACCGACACACTGGAGTCTAATGAAGAAGTGAGGCTATACCATTGGTTCAACCATAGCCTCAGACTATGCAACACCTGCTGCAATGCCCACTGCTTGAAGGCACATATACAATGAAAGACCTTGCTAAGTACAATAAGTGAGCACAAGCATAGGTAACGATATGGTCAAATGTTGTATAGAGACATGAGAAAAAGAAGACCTAATCAGACATTGAAGCAATGAATGGTATGACAGAACAAAGAATAAGCCATAAAGTTATTACACACAAAAAAAAGTGTAATAACTTTGTGGCTTGTTCCTATCACACCATTAATTATATATGTGGTCAGGCTGGGGCTCCTACCTACAGGGTGTGTTCTGGTGGCTGGGAGCCCCAGGGGCTCCATGTGCTGTAGGAGCTTGCTACTTGCCAGTACAGGGGGAGCCCAGGGTCATGATCTCTGCACTGACAATAAGGCATGATGGGATCTGATGCTGGATCCCACAGTCACACTTTCTGTCATGCACGGGTGGCATGGTAGGAAATGTGATTATGGGGATTCTTCATCAGATCCCATTGCACTTTCACTTGCACATCTGTCAGGGTCCTAGACTACATAAGAATACTATAGGTCATAATAAGCAACCTTGATGCTGATCCCTCATAAAAAAACAAACACTTTCCCTAAACTCCCACAAGGCTTCCAGGTTGCAGTAAACATCCCCTTGCTGGGGTGCCAATATGCACTGTAAATTGACAGTATAAGTAACATTATCCATTTTTTCATGCAACTTTATGATGGGTACAAAAGTCAAGTATATCTTTCAAAACTACATACAATGACCTCCCTCATTTTAATTTATCCGTTTTCTTAAATTAAACCAGAGTGGAAAGTAGGAGGTATCTTACAATAGCAGATAAAAATGTTTGCAAATCAAGATCAGAGATAAATCTTTGCCAGCCTTATGCCTTTTATAAATTGTCTGCATTGTTTGAACATTAGTCATCTGTGTGAAGCTTTGACCTTCTTAGTTTACAGGCTCAGTGAGACCTGAAGTAATCTGCCTTGTAAGTGCCACTCAGTAGCGCCTTCCATACCAATAATCCTCCTGTATAATGAAATACTTGCCTTTGCTTCTTTGCTAGAAGTTATAGAGGAAGCTTCTGATCATCCAGCTATTAAAACCACCATGACTGGTTCTGCCCAGAAGCTGCATGACTACACATGGAGCAGAAAAGTCACTCTTTACAGCCAGCTTTAAAGTTCTTTGAAACCATTTGAATTTTCATCCTGACAAGCCTTTTCACACTGGCATTTTCAAGAAATAGATTAGCTTCCGCGTACCAGCCTTCAGGAGTACATATGAGCTGAGACTTCATTCAGAGTCTACACTATATCTGTGAAACTCAAAGTCAACCAGTCCATTTGAACAAGAAAAATGGTGTTTGGTTCCAGTAAGCTACCATGGAGTGCTGTCCAGATTTGACAAACGTTGCAGCGAGTTGCTTTTGTGTGCTTCGTATGCAGTGCAAGCGCTGGAAAATGCTTTTCACATGATGCAGCACTGCTAGTAGGTAATCACTGGAGCATTAAAACAAGAGAATTTGTGTGTATCCAGCATGCTGCAGCAGGATAAGCGGAAGTGAACAAAATGAGCTGTGGAGTTTTTAGTAAGATGTCCTTCCTGCTCCTCTTTTTCATGTTGTGCTTTTGGTTAGCTTCACTAACAGCTAAAAGTGTGTACATGAGAAAACCTTAAACCAATGTGAAAACAGCTTTGTTTCTGTCCTATTTTGGTCTGTTATTTTTAAAGAACATTTTCAGTTTAATTATGCAGCACTTAAAGTTGAAATTAAACTGAATTTGCAATGGAAAGTGCTCACTTTAGTTAACTATCAAATTTACTGTGCTACTGGAAAATAGCAGCCTTTGCTATTACAATGTGTTCTGGGAAAATTAACTGGTTTGTTTTTTGATAGGGAGAAAATGCCCAAACTCTTGGCTCACTTAGAACAAGTTAGAAATGTAAAAGGGATGCCTGACAAAATCAAGCCAGTAATTTTTTGAAAATACTGGAAAGCATTTCAGATATTTTCCTCAACTGTTCACAAACTGGAAATATGGACAGGTTTCCTTTGTTACATTTTCATCTCTTTTCTTAAATGCACTTTCCAAATGTGGGTAGCAAAAAAAAAATTCTTTAAAAAAACCTTGCAATTAGCTTCTTGGCCCAGGGACACCTGACATGAAATCTTTTGCAGGGTGCAATGATTTATTGTGACGGATTTCTATAAAGAGTGCATATTTATATAAGATTGCACAGACCTTAATAACTCTATACCTCTGTTTTTAGTTTGTGATGTACAGTTCTGTGTACACAGAACATCCCAGACTAGTGTCTTCAGACCACCTTTTTCCTTTAAGCCCTAGGCATTTTTATCACTGTGCCAATAAAAGGAAAGGGATTTATGGGGTACTGCTTTTTAATTCATTCAATTCTCTGTTCATTGTGAGGTTAATGTTGTTGATCTATTTTTCTCTTGAAACAAATAAAAACAATATGTGCTGACACTGACTTTGACTTTTGACATGGGAGATAGAGGTCAACATTTAATTTTATATTTATAGACTACATGAACAATATTATCTGTATTAAAAACTGTTCACTCAGTCCTTGTCATTTTACAACTTAGTTCAGTAGTTTATATCACATTGAGGATTTTCTCCATCTCTGATCAAGGTGCCATCATTCACAATGCTATAGTTAAGGGACTGTCAGGTTTTCCATTATAAACCCCATTTTTCAGGGGTTCATAACTTGACTGCTTAAAAAAAAAGAATGCTCCACTACTGACCTTTGGCTTTATTTTAAACTATATGAGTGTTAAAAAATCAAGAGTGCAATGTTTGTGCAGTGATGGTATTTTTTTATTTTTTAAAAAAGACAGTTTCTGAAGCAAATATTCCTTACTAGCACCTAAATACTCTTGCAGCGCTTTTGTTTAAGATGCTGTTTTGACATCTGGTTATGCCACCAGCCTGGCCTACACACATTTATGTACTGGTGTACCATATCAGTTTGGGGTGGGTTTTTTTTTCCTGTTATTAAAACAACATAAACCCCATTGTGGGTGTGGTGGAAGTGCTCTAGCCTGTTTTGTGTAGCAAATGGACATAAGCTGTACTGTTATAAGCAATTTCATACTAATGTTGATGTATTCATGCTTAGGTGCCATAGTGCTTTAACTGTACTAGTGGTGTTGAAGTATTACAACTTTTGGGTATAAATGCACACTCTATGATCACTCTATCCATAATGAAGGAAACACACACACACACACACACACACACACACACACTAGTGTAAATTTGGTGGATTTCCTATAATATCAAAGCAGTTGCTCCAGGTATAAAACTGTGAACTAGGATGTCATCAGTGAATTAATGAAACCAAGGTGATTTACACCACCTAAGAATCTGTCAGGGTTTTCATCATGGAAATCATAGCTAGGACAACCTAATACTCAAGGCTGGATCCTGCAACCTGTAATTTATTTTGCATGAGTAGCTTCTTCAGTGAGACTACTAGTCTAAGTAGAATTACTTAGCTTCGTAAGTTAGTGCCCCCCTTAGGAAACAATTTACAAGCATTCATTCTCAGTACTGATGCAATCATTATCAGGGATCCAGGTTTTCTGTTCACCATGTAAAAATGTGGTAAAATGCAGATGTTCTCATTTTAAGAAGAAAAAACACAGATTTTTTTTTCTTTAAGGGAGAAAAATGTGGGAAGCAGTGGGTTTCCTTTTGCAGGCTGGCAGAGTTCCAGCATGCAAGGGGCTGAGCATGAAGAGGGCGATCAGGCAGAAGGTGCCACGTGCATGTGCACACATTCATGTGGCAGCCAGGCAGGCAGCATGGAAAGCAGCTCTCACAGCTCCCTGAAGGTAAGTCTTGGGGGTCAGGAATTTAGGCCCCTATACTGAGATAAGGAGGGAGGTTGGGCAAGGCTGGGGCAGAAGGGCTGCCCAGCTGGGATGGTGTGTGGGGCTTGGCGGCCAGGGCTGGGGAGGGAATGTGTGGCTGCAGGGCCTGACTGAGGAGTGGGACAGAGTTGTGGGTGGCTCATTTGGGGGATGGCAGGGGAGGCTGGCTCCCCACCACTGCATGCACTCCCAGGGGGAGAATGCAGAACATGTGCTCCCAAGATTTGTGTGCAGGGCAGGGACAAATGCCAGCTGTTCACTGTGGACTCAGGGCTCCCTGCCCTGCTTCCCTCCCCCTGGGGCTCCCACAGCCTGCTGGTGCCCCTCCCACCATGACCCAACAGCCTACAATCCCTTGGCCCTGATGGTGCCCCTTATTCCCAATCCACAGCCAGCTGTGCCCCCCAGTCCTGCCAGAGGGAGCTCCCAGCTGCACTCTGACCACAAACAGCTGCCACCTCCCATGGGCAGCAGCTGGGGCTTGGACACTTCTCATGCCTATAACAATGAAGTAACTAAATATTGTGCATGGGGAAGGAGGGGCACTGGCAGGGCTAGGAGGCTGTGGATTTGGAGTAGGGGCACCAGCAGGGCTGGGAGGCTGTGGCTTGATTGTGCAGGGCAATGGCATGGGTCGGACAAAGGCATATCAGGGTTTTTCAGCCCCACAAAGCATGAATGCCTCATGCCTCTTGAGGCTGGGGGGGGCACAGAGATCACTTGCAGGTGGTGGTGGTGGTGAGCAGGGACTGTGTGCAGGCAGCCACAGTGATGTCAGCGGCGAGGGCAGGCTGAGCAGGGACTGCCCGCAGGCAGCTGTGGCGGTGTCAGCAGTGAGGGAGGGGGGTGGTGAGCACCAAGTGGCGATCAGCGACTTCCTGCAGACACCGCCAGCAGCATCGTTGGGGGAGGGGGCTGGCTAGCATGACTGCCCGCAGACGCCATTGGCGGTGTTGGTTGCAGCCAGTCTCAGGGGTGCACAGACAATCTCAGGGGGTGCACATGCACTTGTGTGTACCCCCCACACATTGTCAATGTCACAAAGCAACAGGGGGGCAGCTGCAGCTGGACCTGCATCCTGGTGAGCAAATGGGACAGGGGGAGCTCTGGTTTTCCATGATAATATTATAAATATATCAATAAAAAATTGTGTTCAACTGATACCTATATATAGAGTGGCAGGAAAATGCAGATTTGGGGTTTTTTAATCAGAGCATTTTTTTTTTGTCAGAGAATCTGTGATTTTGAAACAGAGAAAAAAACAGGATCCCCAATTCATTATTAACTTTGATGGAATTTCGAAAAGTGTCAAGCTGTTTTTTATTTAAATGGCCAGAGTTCTGAAATTATGTATTCTTTCATTGCAAACGCATAATTGTTTCTTTGCTTAGATTATACAGATGTTTTATCTACTACAATATTTAGCTACTTGATTGTTATAAGTATGAGAAAACTTGTTTAATCTATACAGTTTAAAATAATCTGTATATTTAGAAATGTCTAAATATGTATAGTATTAATGTAATAGCCTACAATATCTGTCCTTATCTATAAATATTTTAAGGGTCCTTGTATAGCACACAGTAATCCATAACGGGTAATTAGGTTTGGCAAGGTAGGGTCTGTATTAATTAATACTCATTTTTTAAAAATATGCAATGATTTATACTTCATTCTCAAAAGGCAGATGAACCCACTAGATTTTGGCTTTGTTCCTTTTAATATGATGGTGGGAAGCCTAATAAGTTGCTTGGTCATATTATATAACTTGCCTCCATATAGAGACTTTCAGGAAAAGTCTTAGTGCTTTTTTCAACCCATGGTGAGGAGTGTGTTTGCCTGCTGAAATGTTTATAGTGTGTCCCACCTTTTATAGTGTGACATTTTTGTATCTAGATAAGTGGAGAAGACAATTTTGTGGTCCTTTGTGGTCCTTGCTCTTGTTAGTAGAACAGGGACTATTTAAAAGGAAAATTGTAATTAAATTTAAGGAGATGGAGGAGGGATGGGACTTAAGTCCTCTACTAACTGATCATGCCATTGTAATAAAGCTGTGCAAAGTATGTGAGTTGCTTGAAAAAAAATGGACTGCTTTGATATGGAATCTGCTATTAGAAACAATTTATTAGTTATTTTTAAAGCCAGAATTTCTTTTTATTTTAGGTGTCTGTCTCTGGATCTCTCTCATATAGTTCTTCTTTTGCTCCTAGTGCTTTTGCATGTTATTTATCTCTTCTTCTCCTTTTCCTCTGCATCCATTTGCTGGTTTCATTGTCTCACTGCCATCCCCATTCCATTATCCTTCCATTTACAAATTCTCTTCCACATCTGCTTTTGTCCCTTTCTAGACTTCCTATCCATTGATTCCCCCCCCCCACCCTGATCTTATTTCCTTTTCACCTGATCTGGCTTTATGCACCTCTACTCCTGTCTATCTTTCACCCTCTCCCAGGCCTCCCCTCTTCTTTCTATCCAGTTGTAGGTATGTAAGCTAAACAAGAACCTGGCAGCATGAGTCAACAGATGTGCTGTTCTTACTAGATTTTGACAGCTGCAACAGAACGGAGAATGTCGTTCTAGTAGACAGGGGTGTGTAAGCCAAACTTCTGTTTATAGCCGTGTGAATGATTTGTAATGAAAAATGTATTCAGCAAACGTAACCACTTTTTCTGTTGGCAAATTCTCCAACAAGAAGCTGAGAACTTGTGTAATCTGTGTTTTCAAAATTACTTGTAAATATAATCTGAATATAATTCTTGGCTTGTGAAACAGTCCATTGTAAAAAATTTGAACCGCCTAAGTTAGCTACTGGCATGTAAGTCATTTGTTGCTTTAAATACCCCGAACAGGTGAATTGTAGCACTAACTAAAGACCATACACATTACACATTGCATGTTGAAGTGTAAAGTTTAACATCCATGAATCACAATTCATGCCATAGCTGGTTAGTTATTTGAAATTTATTTTTGAAAATATTTCATGTTAAAATTTGTTGTTACAGGGTGAGAACAGGTGTTTGCCATACATAGTTTAGGTTTGGCAGCTTACTTTAAGCCATCTAAGCCTAGACCAGAAGCAGCACATGCAGCTGTTTGCTGCTACCAGGAGGGTTGGGCAGCCTGAGGTAAGTAATATGGGGTAGGGGCATGGGCTGGTGGAATTTGGGGGGGTGGTCTGTAGGAGGAATAATGGGCCTGGGGGAGGTTTAGCAGGTTGAGATGGGGAGAGGCTAACTGGTTTGTGGGGGAAGATGGGTTGGTGGATCCATAGGTGGAAGAAGGTTGCCTGGTCAAGGGGGCGGGGGGATAAAAATGGCCTGGTCAGGGTTTTGGGGGCTAGAGGTTAGGAACATCACAACCCCAGGGCAAGGGTGAATGCCCTGCAACTGTGCTGCAAACTTGTGCAGGCATTCACTAGATTCAGTTAACCTATTCTTAGTTTGGATTAATCCTTTCTTGATCTAAATTAGTGTACCCTCTGAGGTGAACTAACTTAGATTGGGCATGCCAGTTTTTGGCCGATTTAAACCCTGTGAATACTTGTGCAAGTGGCCATATAGCTCAGCCTAACCCTGGTTAGGTC